TAGATATAAAGTTGTTGCATTGTCTCCAGAGTCAGATCATTTTTTGAAGCATATATTTTCTTAGTGCTGAAAAAAGTGAATAAATGGAGAGATGTGTGTATATGAGTGTATCTCTAAGAATGTAACTATATAAGAAATAATATTACATTTATAATGCATAGTTTGAGCCCTCTATTCATTTCCACAAAAATAGCAAGCAGTACATTTCTTTAAAAAGAAATGTTGATGTTTGAGTTATGTTAAACCATATTAGCACAATAAGCATCATTTAAGGGAAGAAAAGTTAGTATTTCTTCAAACATTGGCTTTTAAAATTTGCTTATTATTCAGTTATGTAGTCTATATATTTCTTTTCATTTACAACTGCATCCATTTACAACTTCCAAGTAAACTTGGAAATGAGAGGAAAATATGGATTATTGTTACCTTTGTTGTTATGAGAAATAATTAATCTCATTTGTAAGAAATATATTTCTTACAAGAGGTCTTGGTATTCACTGAAGACCAGCGAAAGCAGCTTTGTCCTCACATTTAGCACAATACAGATGTGCAAGAGAATGTTCTGCTGAGCCATCAAAACAGAACATAGGTGTCACATTATTATATGCTTTGTATAAAACATCATAAACAGCTCCCAAATGTATGAGCCAGTCTCTGCTCACATAGCCAAAATGACTTTTGCCATCTTTCCCTTGACATATGACAAAGAATGTGAAAAGCTGCTCTTTTTTCTTGTCTTCTAAAGCATTTGTGTCCTGCTGCACAGCCCTTCCTGAAACAGTTCTTTTAGTGTCACCGGTTACAGTTGCTGACATTCCTTCTTACAGTCTGGTCATTTGCCTCAAACAGAAAGATATAAAACAAAAATACAGCCAGGAGACTGTTAGCATATTATGATAATTGTTTTAAATTTGGTTTAGAGAGCGTATAGTCTTTTGTGGCTGATGGTTTGTAGGTGCTAAGGGAGAGGTCAGTGTAAATATTCTTGTGGGCTTCCTGACTTAACATCTATTATGTAGTTACTTCAGGATTTGGGAAAATAGGCTCAGAAATCTAGTAGTTCTTCAGTACATTAATGTGTGTTAATGTATAGTATGGTTTGGGCAGTATTATAGTACTTAAACAGCTTAATCTTCCTTTTGCTAAAAAGAAAAAATATACAAGGAATTCTGATACATGCTGGCATGTGAGCATTGCTTAAATAATTGTAGAATCTGTTAGATGTGAAATAAAACTTGTGCATTGCTATAAAACATGTGATGGCAGGCACATATCTGGAATTCATATAGATTCATATATGTTAAAGTATGAATATGCATTAATGAGACTCCAAATCCAAGTATATACACAGATATGACAGGAAAATGTTTAAACTAATCATCAGATTGGAAGGGTTCCTAGATAACTTAGGGAGTAAGCATAAACTAGCTTTATGGCTTATAGAACAATTAATATTTCCCACATGCACATATTCTAAATCAAAATACTGGAATATACTAAAAGAAAACCCAAAATTAAGTGGAGCTGTGGTGGTAAATATACATAATTTAGTTAAAGAATACATCTCAAAAAGAATATTATGTTTAAAGGAATTTAAAATTCATAATACATTCCAGTTTTAGGTCATTTGAAAGTACAGAGCTGAGACCCATCAGACAGCTTTGTCTTTTCTCTGGTATCTTCATCCATGGCCTACCTAAATGAATACATCCATATTTGACCCCAGCTAAGAGGTCTTGTCGGTGAGCCTAACATTACATGCTGTAAAATTTCATTACATCTGAAAAGCTGTAACTTGCAGTCCTGGACTAACTGCCACAGTTAAGATCTGCAGAGATGCAGTTTTCTTGTTCTTGATAAGGAACTGTCTGCAAAATTATTTTCCTCAAAGTAGAGGGAAACTTGACATTTCTGGACAACCCCCAAAACCCACAACCAACCAAACACTAAAACCAAACCTCTTCCCCAAACCCCTAAACAAACAAGAATCTGCCTCATTTTCCTGTCCTACAGGAGGAGGAAGGAAGGATTGATGGAACAGTAGTAAAGCATATTACAGTTATAGTCAGTATAATTTTGGGATGAATATTACAGCAGAGCTCATCTTTGTCCTTGATTATGGTTGGAAAACTGTCAGTGCTGTGCAATGCTGTCTTTTTGATCCTTAATTTTGTTTAAAATGCTAACAATATAACAACATTGCACAAGAATCTTTTTTAATGCCATTCAGCTCTTTCCAACATTTGATATTTTGTTATGTGTGGATTTACTTCATCTTTTTCATTTGGTCTCACACTTGTCCTTCTGGCTTTTCATGCTGTCTTTGTTTAATAAGAAAAGAAACAGATTACTAACATCATACATATCTACATCATAACTGAAGTATTTATGTAAGGCTACAATTCAAGGTGCTGCCTGTAGTGAATATATCTGGATAGTATGGCCAAATATTTCCCCTCTGTGATGCCTTTTCCCTACATTTTTTTCTAAGAACCTGCAAAGGAACATTTTAGTAAGACTACAGCAAGGCAGTATTTATTACAGCAGCAATTTGGGGGGAGTTCAGAATGTTAACAAATACTAAACAGGTTTTTCATCTATGATTTTGTAAATACTTCCATCTCATCACAGGAAAAAGAACTTGAAAATAATTTTAAAGTCATTATTTTGGTATCTTTGAAGTGGAATACTGTTATTGTGTTCAACAATGCTAACAAATAAAACTTAAATTGCGTTAGATAGAATTTATTTTCAAATATATATATATATATATTACTTGATATTGGAATGAAACTTTTTACTTTGCATTAAAGAGAGTTCCAGTTAAAAGGGGCTTTTCTGACCCAAAGATACTTATATTGTTCTTGTATGTCAAAAGGGTTTTCTTTCTAATTGAAAAATGAGCCAAACTGCTTATTGTCCAAACAAAGTTAAAAAAATGTGATTGAAGTTATGCTTCAGCACAGTTATGAGAGCACACGTTTATTAAGAGAAGAGAAATAAGAGGAGAAGTAATAAATATATAATGATATATTTGGAAAGTGCTTGGAGTGAAATTTGTCCATCCTTCATGTTTCATGGCTTTTATTGTATGGCCTCAAAGGAGAAAGCCCACCTTGTCACTGTACTGCTCAGTGCTTCCCTCCAGATGAAAATACAGAAGTGTTAGGTATCTCATAATATAAGCTATTGGTGAAATGTTTTAGTGCTTAATATCTGATTTAAAGTATTTTAATAAATCTCTGGGCTACTGTATATTTGGTGGGCCATTCCATGCAGTGGATGTTTAAATCTGTTTCAATATATGGTTATGCTTAACTTGCAGTTGAGTGAGCATCAGAGCCTGATCTCCTATATGTCTGTAAGATAAGCCCTAATGCCTTCAGTCTGAGCATCCTTAACCTTCTCAGTAAAATAGCCACCCTGTTCATCCTCTATGCCCTCACCTATGATGATGATACAGCTGCCTGGGCAAGAAGATACATTGCTTTTACTGGTGGAAAGCTGAATGTATTGGCCAGTGTCTGTGCTGCCTGGACAGGGAGCCTGTAGGAGCTTCGCTAGACTCCTTAGGACACAAGCTATTTAATGAATGCAAAAACTGTAAGATCTAAACATCACTGAAATCTTTGTTTTTCAGTCAAGTTAATTTCAAACTGACCTCTGGATTCACAAGCTATTAGAAAAGATAGGCAGGCACAGGGCAACAGTATTGTGGAAGCTTATTTCTGTAACAAAGTAAGCTAAAAATTGTTCCTTTGGTGTATGCTTAAGACTTTTGTTGTTGATATGCAAGTAGTAATTAACATTTACAGTACATCCATAATAATACTTTAATAGATTTAAGGTAATTGAAACAGTGAAGTCTGAAATAACACTGCACCTATGAAAACATAAATTTGGTTGGATTTGGCTTTTTCACATCATGGAGTTTCTGGCATTTATTCCTTTAGATGTTTATAAAAAGAGAAACTTAAAACTGATACCAGTACAGTGAATCATTTGCAGTGAAATCAGATTAAGAGTTTGGCATTCCAGTTTATGCTAAGTGCCTGATTTATCTTGAGTATGAAATTTATTGCTTTTTATTATGTTTAGGTTTTTTTATTTTTGAATTGGATAAGTTCAGTTATTGCAAAAGGAAGACTATTCGCAATGGTTTGTCCCAAATGTAGTGCAGTCAGATGATATGCAGGTTTACCTAAAGAGCTTTGACAACTTTTTAATCTTGATATGTAGCACACCATCTATTCTAGTCACGGGCATTTAAAATACATATAATGCATGTCATGCTAAATTGCACACTAGCTGTTTGTTTAGTATGGATGTAATTACACCATAAACTAAATTGCAGTTGAAACGGAAAAATGAATCTGCATCAATATTTTTAAAGTTTTTAGGTCTTTATGCTAAACCACATCTTAGATTTTCCCAGACAACCTGTAGTCATCTTGCTGCCCATTAACACTCTTATCTGGATGAGGTAAGGGAAACTGAGCCTCAGGACCCAGAGATTTACATTCTGATTTGATAATATTTTCAAAGTCTATGTGTAGTTTTAAGTAGGGATCCAGGACATGCTGCAGTATAAAGGTCAGTTATTAGTTTGCTTGCCTGGCGATTCTTCCTGCTCTGTGGAGATTTAATATCTGTCTCATACTTTAAATTCTTCAGTCCTTGCACTTTCAAAACTTCCAGTGACAAATCTGAATATTGATTGCTTGTGAACTGTAACAATCCCTCTTGCTTGTCTGATGTCTTTAATCTTTTTATTCATCTCCATGACTAATCAATATTTATATTGTCAAGGAGGCAATATATCCACATCCAGGCTCATGTGTCTGCAAACTCACACAGAGTGTTTGTAGGAGAAATTGGTATAGAAACAGCTGAACATTTTCTGTGATAGAAGAGGAAAGCATTCCAACGTATCCTAAATTCAGAGAAATGTATGATGTAGTTACCTGTTACCTATTAATGTATTTTCTTTCTACCAACAGGTCCCATAAGCAGCATTTTGGTGAATAAGTATGGTAGCCGGCCTGTGATGATAGCAGGAGGTATCCTGTGTTCATTTGGAATGATTGCTTCCTCTTTTTGCAATAGTGTCCTGGAACTTTATCTATGTATTGGTGTCGTTGGAGGTAAGAATTCTGTTTTTAAAATTCTATTCTATTCTATTCTATTTCTATTCTATTCTATTCTATTCTATTCTATTCTATTCTATTCTATTCTATTCTATTCTATTCTATTCTATTCTATTCTATTCTATTCTATTCTAACATTATATCACATTATATCACATTACATTTATTATATTTATTATATTATTTCTAATACTGGTCTACCAATGAAACCTTACCAATCTAGAACCCACTGTACAAGGCATTGTACAAATACAAACCAAGAAGGTAGCAAGATCAGTTCATTTCAGCTACCTGAACTATCTGATTCTTTAAATTAGCTGGTACAATGTTAAATAATTTTGTAGGATATTTCAGGAACAACTGAAAGGATTTTATTCAATAAATGCTGTATGTATGTACTGTTCCACGCTGCACTGTAATTATGGTATAAAAATTGATTGACTCATGACAGCACTTATTACAGTCATTTCACATTCATTCTTTTAGCTTTCAGTCATGTTGAACTTCAAATAGGGTGGCAGAGCCTATCAGAATTCTACTAAAAATGAGAAAACTAGTACCAGCTTTCTCTAGGTTTGTACATACATATACTCTCACAGAAAAGTATACCAACTTTGAGATCAATAGCTTTCTGTTTAAAATTCCCCAGTGTCAATCCCCAAATAAAATTATTCATATATCATCAAAGGCCTGGATATTGCCTAAGGCAATGAACTGAAGTGATCATAAAACCAGTAAATTAAATAACCTCCTTATCAAAAGTTGTGGAGTTTTTTTTTTTAAACTACCTTCTCAGAATAAGGAAGGCAGGTGAGGTGAAATATTGGTAGGTAATAAATGAATGAGATAATACTTATTCCTATACTCAAGCTCATCTTTCTGTATGTTGGGAGTAAAGGAGTCCTTTGTTCAATTATTACTTCTTAAAGCTCTTATTTTTTACATCCTAAACTTGGGACCCACTGAAAGAACAAAGTCAGGATGCAGAAAGGGGACTATCAGAGAAGAAAACTTCTCTCCTGTACCATCCAGAATGTGCATAGCTACTTAGATCATACTGCCTAGATGTCTTAGTACAGAGAGAAGGCCTAGACGTTCAGCTTTCAGACTCAGAATCACAGAATAATTCAGGTTGGAAAAGACCCTTGGTATCATTGAGTCCAACCACCAGCCCTACTCTACAAAGTTCTCCCCTACACCATATCCCCCAACATCTCAACCAAACGACCCTTAAACACATCCAGGGATGGTGACTCCAGCACCTCCCTGGGCAGCCTATTCCAGTGTCTGACCACCCTTTCTGTGAGAAATTTTTTCCTAATGTCCAGTCTAAGTCTCCCCTGTTGCAGTTTAAAGCCATTCCCTCTTGTTCTGTCACTGATTCCCTGTGAGAAGAGACCAGCACCAACCTCTCTACAATGTCCTTTCAGGTAGCTGTAGAGTGATGAAGTCTCCCTCAGCCTTCTCTTCCTCAAACTGAACAGTCCCAGCTCCTTCAATCTCTCCTCACAGGATCTGTTCTCCAGGCCCTTCACCAGCTTCGTTGCCCTCCTCTGCACTCACTCCAGCACCTCGATATCTCTCTCGTATTGAGGTGCCCAAAACTGGACACAATACTCCAGGCGTGGCCTCACCAGTGCAGAGCACAGGGGGACTATCACCTCCCTACTCCTGCTGGTCACACTATTTCTAATGATGTGGATGGGTGGTCTGCTCCCATGTATGTCCTCTACAACTATTCCACCTTTGGTAGTGACTTCCATACCTGGGGAAGTGGAGCTAAATGTGCTCCTAAAACATTAGCCATTTTAAGCTCCACTTTTGTACAGAAGTTTGGTCTTGAATAGGGCTGGAAATAAGAAGTGAGGAGACTGATGCATTTAAATGCACCCTACATTCATTGTAGCTGAGGTGACATTTAATAACTTTTGTGAAATGAGGCAAGAGAGAATTGCATTATAGCTTATTAAATATAAAAATGGTGAGTCAAGGTGCTGATACCTTCATTCCTCTGTGATTCCCCTGTCTCTGTCATTGCTGAAACACAACAAGGAGTTTTGGCTTTTATTGCAGTGCTACAGGAGGAAATGGCAGAATGCCACCAAGACATGGCCTTGGCATTAACACATATAGACAGCAATGAAGCTGTGTTTCATTCTCTGATGCTAGTTGGTTTCTGTCTTCATTGGGAATCACTGGATTAGACACTGATCTTTTTAAAAATAACTTGAAAGAGGGGTAATATGTTTTTCAGTGCATGGCAATAATACTGTCTTTTATGTGTTGTTTAGGTATGGGTTTAGCATTCAACTTACAGCCTGCCTTGACCATGATTGGCAAGTATTTCTATAAGAAGCGTCCCATTGCTAATGGATTGGCCATGGCTGGAAGTCCAGTGTTTCTGAGCACATTGGCACCTCTCAATCAATTCCTCTTTAATGCGTTTGGCTGGAAAGGAAGCTTTCTCATTCTGGGAGGACTTCTTTTGAACTGCTGTGTGGCTGGGTCACTTATGAGACCTGTTGGACCGAAAACAGTCCCTCCTGTGAAAAAAGATGTTGAAAAAGGCACAGTAGATTCTACCTTGAACAAAAACAACAAGTCTTTTTGGCAAACTATGAATAAGTATCTAGATCTGTCCCTCTTCAAACACAGAGGGTTTCTGATCTATCTGTCAGGAAATGTCATTATGTTTATTGGTTTCTTCGCTCCAATAGTATTCTTGGCTCCTTATGCTAAGCACAAGGGAATTGATGAATATTCTGCTGCTTTTTTGCTATCTATCTTAGCCTTTGTAGACATGTTTGCTAGGCCTTCAATGGGACTTGTAGCAAACTCCAAGTTCATACGGCCAAAGATTCAGTACTTTTTTAGTTTTGCTGTCTTGTATAACGGCGTCTGTCATATCTTGTGCCCTCTGGCAACAAATTATACTGGCTTGGTGATATATGCTGTATTTTTTGGGTTTGCATTTGGAATGGTTAGCAGCGTTCTTTTTGAGACATTGATGGACCTTGTTGGGGCTGCCAGATTTTCCAGTGCGGTTGGTCTTGTCACCATCGTGGAATGTTGCCCTGTGCTCATAGGCCCTCCTCTAGGAGGTAAGAATCTCTTTTATTCCATTTGTTCAGGCATTATAGCATAATCTTGCAAATTGTATTTGAATTAATATAAACATTGTTCTTAATGTTATTTAATGTTTTGCTGTGACTAGGAATGTATTGTAGCAGCAGTGCACTGCATCAGTTATCTTTGGGCTTTACAGCTACAGATCCATGTGAGAATCTAAAGGCATACATTGCGTGCATATGCAAGAGTGAGATTAAGAGCATATCTTTACTGGCCCATAAATCCAGGTGATAAGCATATGCTTTCCTGATAACATGGAGTGCTAACTTTGCAACATTCATTTATGTGTATTCAGCTCCAATTTCCCACAGTTCTTACTCTCTTCAATTGGTTGAATCCACTAGTCATTTTTTGTGAAGATCTCACAGAGTGGCTTATAGTTTTTCTAACATAGTGGCAGCTAGAGGAGCACTTGATTAAATTTAAAATAGCAACTTTAGTTTGTCTAAATGGAGAGGATTGGCATTTCTAGAGACAATCCAGCAGGGTTGTGTCAGAAAGGACAGAGGCATGCTCAGCAGCCCAGGCAGGTTGTGCGCATGGTGGAATTCCAGAGCAGTGCTGTCAAGCGTTGGGTCCTGGCATGATTTCACAGCCAGTTCTTTAGCCTGTTTCTATAGCCAACAGATATGTGTAAGGCAATTCAGAGTGTGAACTGACTGAAAGATGATAATGTTGCCAACTTCACTCATTTGAGTGTAAGAGAAACTTAAAGGGAACCTAGGTGTATAGGTTGGACTATGCTCATAACTTTTGGGCTTCTAGAACCGAAAATGATGAAGAGTCTTATCCAAAGTATTTTGTTTGCTATCTTTTTCAGTCAGTATTTAGTAATGATGTTAGTAAGTTTTGTAATCTTATGCTTTCTGACAAGAGACTAAAGAAACAGATGCTCAAATTTTATCGAAAAGTATTGGTTGTGTCTATGTTGCGGTGTAAGCCCAACAATATGAAAATATAAAGATAATGAGATTACCAGCCTTGTGAACATACACTATACCCACATAAACAGTGCCACAAAAGTCAGCAAGATTACTTATACCTAAAAACATTTATACATATCAAAGTATTTTAAGGATTGCTGCAGCATTTCTATGAAAATAGCATTGTTGAGTGAAGTTTTAAATATGCCAAAACAATTCCACTCACTTCGGTACAATAATATTTGTACAAGTAAATGTTTAATAGTCCTCAAGATGGTCCAGATTTCCCTCATCTTTTAACGTGCCAATTCATTTTGGTAATGGTAGAACAAAATACCTTCTTCTCACACAGACTCTTTCTGTGCCACCTAGTGGGGGGACAGAGCCTGTGACCGCTGGAGTCCAGCCTTTCCAGTCAGGTTTTGAAATCAACATTAACTCTAAAGATATTAAATTTAATATTTATGGAGCAATAGCATGCACAACTATTTATTTTTCAGTATATTAGCTTTGCAGGAGTTTTGAAAAGCTTGTTTGTGCTATAACTGTATGAATAATTGATTTATCTTGTTAAATAGAGACAACAAAGGGGATGAACACATGGAAAATGTAAATTCCAGTTTTGACTAGTTAATATCCTTTAAAATATTACGCTGAAGTAATGCTAACACAGAATTTCATTTTGATCATCAGTTTTATGAAATTGCTCATTGATAAAAAATGGGAAATTGTACTATTTACACTAATAGGTGAATTATACACTTGCAGTGCTATTTGAGTTTTGGATTGTTAGGTTTGTGAAATAAAGAAAAGAATAAAATCATTTGATGGCTTGTAAATGTGTATCAGGTGAATAGACTAGCATTATGGCTTCAGCCCAGTAAAAACATCTAAATACATACTAAATTGAAGTGCACAGGTTGTCCTGTGAGTTTCAATGATAGCATAGCAGAAGTCAGAGCTAAATAATTGGATATGTACAAATGTTGATTTGGGAGTTGGGAAAATTTAGAAAGAATGGCTTATATAAGTGGAAGAACAGTTATATGTTACTTTCCTTGTCATGACCAAATTAATCTCAGAGGTGTGGATGTAATTTTTTATGTACAGGCTTTATAGTTTAAAACTCAGTAGTTGAGCATGGTAGTTGAAGGGACAAGCCTTTCTATTTCTTTTGCCAGTCACAGGAAAGAAAAAACGAAAAGCAGGCAGTTGATGCACAGTGACAGCAGCCTAAAAAGGCACATACCTCTTCATCCTATTGTCTGTATGCCGCCTCTGTGGGTGTCAGACAGTCACTCCAAAACAATAGGAAACAAAATTAGGAGGTGAATAAAATAAGACAATGAAGGAATGAAAATGAAATAACTAAAAACTGTCTGTCATTATTCATTAAGCTTTACTTTGTTCTTCAATATTTTATCATTGTCAGTGATTCTGATTACAACTGCTACCTTGACTAATATAGGTTTCGTTAGAGTTCCACTGTATATGTTAGACAATTTGAACATGTTGAAAATGCTTTTCTGCTCCGACTTCAAAACCAAGCAATATATAAGTACTTCTCCTAGGGAGAAATCTGGATCATATTGGGGATGCTGTTCTAAAGAATCTTTTTCTCTCTTCTTGTCTTTGTATTTCAGGTTGGTTAGTGGATGTTACTGGTGAATATCAGTACATGTATTTTGTCTGTGGAGTTATTGTGATTGTGGCCAGCATCTGGTTGTTCATTGGCAATGCCATTAACTACAGGCTTTTGTCAAAAGAAAAGAAGTTAGAAGATGAGAAGCAGAAAGCACAAAAGAACGCTGACTCAAAGGAAGCAGAACCATTAACAAACAATGAGAATGAAGATGCTTCCAGCAGAGCTGATAAAGCTCTTGAAGATCCTTCAGAAAGAGAAACCAATATTTAATCTGCAATATAGCTCAGAAGGCAACATTTATGACTTCCATTAGAAATATGTCTTCAAGACACAGGCCAGGTTTTGTGGTAATAATGATCAGTCACAATATTGGATGGGAACAGATTTTTGCCTTGTGGCAAGACTCTAAGTTAAATTACTATCTACAGTTTTTTTATTTTAGTGATACAAAATTGAGATTACTGAGGTAGTGACACCATGCAAATGGGTCCATCAAACTATGAGTCTGGACAATCAAGAGTAAGGCAAACCAGACTATAAAGCCTTCTAGTGACAAACAGTTTTGTTTCAAAAGTATATCTAATACAGAAGTATTTCCTAATCTTATTTAGGAAGATACTTTGTGTTCATCTTTTGGAGTATTGTTAAAGTCTGTTGAAATAATCTGCCCAAACTGTACTTGCTCCTAACGTTAAGAAGAATATAAACTCAAAGATTTGTTTAAAAAGAGACAAAGTACCTGAGTGAAGCACACTGAAACTTTTTTCTCTTTTGTATGCCCACTAGATCAAAAAGATACATTATGTATAAACAATTATAATATGGATGTAAAAGTTAAGGCTAATAGATGAAAATTGGTGGGTACCATCTCTAAAATACAATAAACACCTGAATTAAAATATATACAGAAGTTGTTTCCTCCTGTGATAGCTGACTATATTGTACTTCAACGTATATGTTTGAACACAAAGTACGTTCAGACCTCACTAATTCAAACTAAGCTAAAATCTGCCTGTACGTAAAAGGATTTAAGATTTTCATTGCTAATATGAGTGGCAATTAGTTTGTTTGAATTATGTGTTCCTGTATGGCTGAAGGATCTGGATTGGCCTGTGAAGCCTTCTCCCTAAAGGGACTAGATAAAGAACCTGCTGATGTTGAATGGATACTTATCCTTGGCTTTTGTGGCTTCAGTCAGTTTCATGGCAATGACTTCAAAGTAGATGCTTGGGTTTACTGGCAAATCATTAGTTGTTTGATGGTCTACTGAGAGGACACTTAAAGTCTTTACAGTCAGGTAACTTCATATGAGTTCTCACCTCCCTTTCTTATTTAGTGAAAAGCTACTTCTTTTTTATTGACATATCATTTTTGTGCAGGATATTTGGTCTTGTGTCTACAATTTCATACAGACACTCATTTCCATTAAAATGTACACAATTGTTCATCTTCCTTTATGCAAAAGAAAGCATAAATCTCTGAATTTACAAAAATTAGTTAGCTTTTCACTTGAAACCTCAAAGTGCAAGCTTCTGAAGGAATTGTGAAAATATTTCTGTCCTATTTGTAGGTGAGGAAAGGTGCTATTAGTTTTGGAGACATGCACATAAATGACTCAGAAATTGTGAAAATTAAGGGCCTAATTTATAAAAAAAAATATGCACTGTTTATTTAGGATACACATACATGCAATTCCAGGAAAAGAATATAATTCATTTTAGCCCTCTTTCAGATCTCAAAAAGTTGGAGATATATTGGACAGAGAGCTAGCTGTGTTAAACACACTTTGAAGCACCAATAACAAAAGAAAAATAGTAAAATCTAGCATATATGTGAGTGCTTTTAAGAAAGCCATTTCTTAATAGGAGTGTTTATTTCTTAATAGTAGTATTATTATTTTAATTATTCTAAGGATTTTGGTAGTTCTTGATTCTGTTTTGCTGGGTTATCATCAATGAAGTTCCACAGTAATGATGATTTTTTTCATTATCTCAGCATTGTTTTGGGGGAGAAGCATAATTAATCTACTCACAGCATGGCATAGAAATGAATACCTATTTTTACCTAATTATATGATGGAAAGCCAAACATCTTCTACAAGTGATGTAATTTTATAGGTGCATCAGCAACAAAATATGTGCATTTCAGAGTTTTGGGAGAAAATATGGGTTATATGCTCAGATTTGAGCAGGGAACTGTGTAAAGGAGAATGATATAATCTCAGTAAAATTAATGCTATAGTCCCAGTTCCTCACTCAGCCCCCAGCTTCGGAGAAGAAATAAACACATTGCACCTCCTTCTGAACTGTAGCCCTGCCAGCACCCCATGAGGTAAAAACATTGCTCTGGTTTTGGCTATACAAACATACAGGGTGAATTCCAGGATCTGTGAAGGCCTTATGTGCCTAGAGCCAGAAAGTCATGAGGAGTTTCATAGACACTAAGCTTTCATATAGTGAGGAATATCAGTTTTAAATACTGGATTATGAAAGATGAACTGAAATTTTAGCTAAAGAGTAGTCATGAGGAACATCACTCTGCTCTTGACAGCAAGTGGTAGAAAGGCAGAGATTATTTGAAAAGAGATGAATATATAGGCTGAACGAAAATGACTGAGGCAAAATTCTAGGTGCTTATTATCTCTTTGCAAAAAACATCATGATTAAGAATACAGGGTAGAAGACAAGTGTCAACTTGATAAAAGTTGCAGTTGAGAAAATAAAGGACTCAGAAAAAAGACGATGGAAAAAGGTTCTCAGGAAACATGCAGGCACTTTACCTGTTCTATGCAAGATCACAGAATACGATGTAACATGGCATAGGAAATAAGGGACAAACAAGGTTCCTTGAGCCATAGACACACCTGACCACCAGTAACAAAAATTATGTTACTATCTCAGAGTAAATAAAAATTTGTATCAACACAACCCTCTGCAGAGATACTACTCTTTCATCTCTGGTCAATGACGTTAAAATGTAATAGGAATGAAAGAGCTGCTTTACCACCACTCACCAGTGTGCAATTTTTAATCCCATGAAGTAAAATGATGTATCAGGCAACTGGAGCAATATAAAGTAGGAACTGAGTCAAGTGAAACATTTTCTTACACTTCCTCCATTACTTTTCCACTTAATACTAGCCACAAAATAAACCCCACCAAAATACTCTTGATGTTAATGAATATTAAAGAAGTTAAAATCCAGAGATGAATGAAGAAAATTGGAACCATATCTATGCAAAAACTGTCTGGAATTAAAAAAACGTGTCTTCCAAATAACAGGTCCTAAGGGGCAATTGCCTCGTATGGGTAGTTCGTATTTCTAGAAGTAATAATAATAATAAATTGTCTTTAATCAAATCTGTACTGAGCAGTAAATTAGTAAAATGAGTATAACTTGCCTTCAAACCCCTGTATATCACTCTTTCTCGCACTGAGATGTAATATGTACTGAAAATAATTTCATCATTACATTTCTGCTTTCAGGATATGCCATCACTCACAATTTCCCTGGTTTCTTTTAATTACCTCACCCCCAGTCTGGACCACTGCAGGGTCAGGACTAAGAGATGCCCGTGCCCTACAATGAAGAAATGTACTCTCAAACTTCAAGACATACCACATGCATCTGTTATGCACTATGGAGCCTGTAGTCTCTGTCAGTGCAAGTGAATCCTTAGTTGGTCTTAATCTCATTTATACTTACGTATACTTCATCCTTTTCATTTCTTTGCCACAATATCACTGAGCCTAATTATCATCTTGCTCTTATGTGATCAGTCAAGAAAAACAATGCCAAAATTGTAAAATTAGTAGGAAAGGGAATAACATCAACAATATTTTTCCAGTTAAACATCAAGATTAAGTTTCTAGTCATTTCAGAGCACACATCCAGATACTTTATCTCCTTAGAGTTTTTTGAGATTGTACTCTAGAACTGGAGGGTTTTCTGTATTGCCCTTCCCAACTCCAGAGAAAGACTTCTTACCAATAATTCTCAGTACTTTTTCAAGAACATCCTAAAAGTTCACCCTTTCCACCTCTCCCCATTGAACTGTATTTGCAACTGTTGCTAGTTCTGTATTGCTATTAAGTTTACAAAGGCATCTTTTTTATGTGAAATGCTATAGCATAAGTAGTCAGGCTACAATCCTTTTATTTTATTAGTGTGATTTGTTAACTGTTTTGAGAGAGTTAGGGAAAGTCTTATTTTATCTTCAAACAGACCTTTTTTTTTTTTTCTTTTTCTTTTTTTTTTTTTTTTTTAAAAAATGATGCTGTCCTTTTGAAAGAAAGTTCGGCTTTACTTACCGCTGAAGTGAATGGCAGCACTTTCACTCACATCATGATTCAAAATTCACATGAATTTTAACAGTCTTTTTGCATATCAGCATCCAGTGTGCTTAAAAAACATTTGACAGTGTGTGCATAATTGTTCCTCCTGGAAAAATCTTATTCCTCTGAAGGCTCCCTACACGCACCACCCACTCCATTCTCCACAAAGAATTTGGACCTGGAAGGTAGTCCTTTTTTAAAATGCTTTCTTCTCATTCTCCTTCGTCAAATGCCTAAGCAACATTTTTAACTTGCTACTTTCAGGTCTGGATGGTCGTGAGTATTAGTGGGGAGGTATTATTCAGATATATAATAAGCTACAGGTACCACATACAGCCAGATTTAGGGCAGCCATCAGGATTTCACTAAAGAAAGCCAGTTACCACTTTTATAGATGAACGTGCTGTAACTGATACTGACAATTTTGCCTATATCAAAATTGAATCAAGGCAACATTTCTTAGTTTCTCTATAGATGACTATTTTTCTACTCACAGAGAGGAATATAAAGGGAATTTAAAAATTATTTTCAGAGGTGACATCAATTTTAACAAGGCTCTGGATTTTTTGTGGGGTGGGTGCTTTTCTGATATTTGTGCATATATATATATAGTGTTTGCATGTATTACCACCTTTTTGATCACATTATGCATAAGCATTGCTATGTAATTTCAACATAATTTGCATGTTGTTATTTTGCAGTTCAAATTTTTCTTGTCATCTACCTCTCAATTGAAGTTTGGAAACTTCCATGACTCTGGAAGAATAAAGTTAACCAAAAGCATAATGATAAAAACTGTACAGACTTTTAGTCTCCCAAATATTTGAAATTACTTACAGTTCTATTTTTAAGGCAGTGCATATTTATGCCCAAATTTTATATCAATTCGCGTAGCTTTACTAAGTCTAAAGAGTTAACCAATACCTGTGTAGTTTTTACGTCACTGAACAGGTATAAAAACTCAGTGTGTCATTTAAATAACCAAAGTCTACTTACTGCCCTTTCTGTGAAATGCTGGTCCTCTTTGGCCCTCTTTCCTTTTCTTTTTCATTTTCTTTCTATTTCTGAGTTACCGGAATTAAATGAAAGCATTACATAGTTAATACATCCAAACAGTTTTAAATATTTTGTGTTTTGCATCCCTGAAAAAAATGTTTCTTTTGTTTATAAATGATACAGAATTTTAGCTTGCTTTGCCTTTTGTGGGGCAGTTGAGGGAGATGGTCACAAAAGGTTGGATTGGGGCCAAGGAATAATGATTGTTCTTCATATGTTCTTTAAAAAAAACAGAGATGATTGTTTCTTCAAAGATCTTCTTTTTAGACTGCAAACCATTCTTGCCTTCTGGGAACTAGTATAAAGTCCACTGAAGCCAACATAAAAAACCCTATCAAAGTCAAAGAGCTTTATCAGACATCGGAGGTGATACGGCTTCAGTGGAGGCTTCAGCCTTATGTTCTCCATGTCAAATCTCAGGAGTATCAGATATAACACAGCAAATGCAGGATTTGTTGCAAGTGGCAAATTTAGCTATGCCTGCATACTATTCCTAATGAATCAGTCCCTAAATTAACGCACAATATGTATTATTTTAATAGTCTATGTAAATAAAAAACAAAAACAAAGCCAAAACAAAATAAACTCTGAATGTAGATTATAAAATATAGAGGATATGTTGTAATAAATATCCAACAAATCTGTTTAACCCCAGAGGAAATTATCTATTTCATTTCAAGCCTTCCTTCAGCAGTTTATTATCTTAATTTTTCTTATTTCCAGAGAAAATAGTTTATGTCTTTTGGGAATGTATATATAGACATATATATAAAGCAATATATATGCATATGTGTGTATGTGTGTATATATGTATTCCCCTATATATAAAACTCTAATTTATATATATTATATATATTTATGTATATATAAAATATATATAGGGTTTTAGAGTAAGTTGCATAATGTGTCTGATAAACTAAACATATTTGTAAGTAAATAAAAGACTTGAGCAAATGACCGATAAATTTAGAGGTTTTCTGTAAGAGTATATTTTGTTATTTTTCAGTTTCTGCTGGTTTTATTTATAGTAGAAATTCATCCAGAAAACTGCAATATTACATAACACTAGTATTTTAACCATGACTCAGTTCAAAACATCCTAGGATCACTGAGAATTTTCATTGTTGTTAGACTGTAAAACCTACATTGACGGTGAAGGGGTTGAATGGGTGTTTTTTGTTTTGGAAATATTAACTAGATGATCTCTGAACAGACTGCAACACATCAACTGAGTTTTTATCTATGGTAGTATGTATGACATCATACTAAATATCGATGAACATGATATTCTTGTAAAAAAGTATGGAAAATGAGAATACTCAAGGCCCTGCAAACAATATTGCCATTAAACTATTATGGGAAATGCTACAGAACACTAGGCTCTAAAAACACTGACAATTTTTCATACCTTTTCCAGGTTTCGGGTTTTTATTTTGTCTGTATAGTAGGCAAGTCTGTGAGAAGTGTACATTCGTCGCTGACTCTTTAAAAATTCTACCTTAATGTATTAAGAGATTTTTTCAGAGTGGTACATAAAACACTTACATAAATACCCTTCCTGAAGTGTGACATAGGTGCATTTTCCACTTACTGCCTACTTGGAAAGTTCACTGTACTTGCAGTCTACCAACAGATCTTGGTATTGCTATGCAATAATTAAACATGCAGTAGCCATTGTTCTTGACTAACAAATTTTTGCTTCCTTTTTGTATTTTGCAATACTGTACAGTTTTTACTTGAATATATAGGGTAGATTTTTTTTTTTTTTTTTTTTTGACAATCATTCATTAGCTAGAGGTGCTATTTATGTTCCAAAGAGATCTGGGTGAATGATAACATTCTCTTTCTAGATGCCAAATCCTTTTTTTGACCTGAAAAAAATAATTGTGCATAATGTATATTAACCCTGTAAAATGCTTACGCACAGCATTACATTGTATTTAAATGCATTTTTGCTCATTAACTTCTATTCCAGGCTTGTACTAGTGTCTAATATATCAAGTTTGTCCATATATATTTATGGAAAATTACAATGAAAAATGTGTATGATAAACAACTGGAAAAAAAAAAA